TCCTGAGATGTGTGCAAACCTGGTGGCCAACTACAAGAAACGTCTGACCTCTGTGATTGCCAACAAGGGTTTTGCCACCAAGTACTAAGTCATGTTTTGCAGAGGGGTCAAATACTATAGTATAGTAATAATTTCGTATTGTGAGGTCCCTGGCAATTCCCACCCCTAGTTTTGTGTGTGTGTGGTATGTGTGTGGTATGTGTGAGTGTGTGGTATGTGTGTGTGTGTGCGCACGTGTGTGAGTGAGAGAGAACTATATACTCGGACACTGTCATTGGACATGTTTGGTGTGTTCACTGTGCCCAATGCTCAGGGACACTGTTGTTTTCGTGGCTGGAGCAGAGGAAGAGGGGAGGACGGAGGAGAGGGTCGGGAGACAATAAGAGAGGTGCTAATTGGCTAAGGAGAATCAGCCTTGGCAGCAATTGGAGGAGGGAGGAGGAGAATAGTGGTGGACACGCAAACCTCTGAAAATGAATGTCTCACCCACACAGTGTATACTCGTGCACCATCACACACATATTCCAACACACACACAATAAATTCACTTCGATAAACACTCACTGGCTTTAATCAGAGCTATGCAGAGAAAGATGAGGTAATTTTCAGACCATGCATCTGCATCATCAAAGCAGTTCAGAGCCTCCCTCCACCACAACAGCCCATAATGAGATTCTGTTCTGTTCTGTTTGCTCCCTCCAATAACATGTGCATATTTCGCTGAGGTAACTAAGGATTTGGATGGCAACCCGCTTCTACCACGTTATAAGTGCTATGCTCCGATTGGTTTCAGGGCCAATTAGACTGAGCCGTAATGCTAGAGCAGAGGGTTTCGATCTTAAGAGTTCTTAAAAGTTCTAGAGCTTGTTTGTTCTGTGTTCCACTGCCATCACCATCATTCTACTCACGTTGCACAGCGACGACGCCGCGATCTCAACGAGGCTCGTAGAACTCTAACTTCATCTGGATAAAACACTTAATCCACCCCCCCATTTCCTCCCTAACGGCCTAATCCAGGGAGCTCTCACCAGATGTAGACCCTACCTTTGATCAAGGGACACCGCAAACAGTTAAGTGTCCCACTACCAGAGTTGAACCTGCCGCAGCCCCCCCATAAGCAGACACACACACACATACATACACTCCCAAGACACTTACACACACCCTTCAGAAGGAAGAATTCCCAGGGTTCTCTCTGCTCCCTCTGCTGCACTTCCTGTGGCCGCTGGTGGGGAAACATCTCCCAGAAACCTTTGCATACCATGCAGCAGCCTGGCATGGCGTATTAGGTTAACCTCAAGATGGGTAGCTAGATGAGCTAGAGGAGGATGTTGGATGAAGCCCCAACACAGCCCCTCTACTGGCCTCCTACATCTTCTACCCACCACCCACCTATTACCCTTATAACCTACCTGATGGTCAGGGCAGGGGTATCTCTGTCTCACCCGAACACCAGCTCCAGCGGCAGGGGCTTGAGGGAAACACGCCAAACCATGCTGCACACACACACACACTCCTCCCACCCTTCTCTCCTCCCTCCCTCCCCTCCTCTCCCACAGCGGATCTCTCCGCATGTGGATCAAATCAGAATCATCCACTAATTGACTATTTACAGGGCTCCAGAAAGGCCGTAATGGACTTGATAATAAATCCCCCCTCCACTATTTAAAGCGTGTTTTCAGAGTGCCTGGGCTGGGCTGAAGGAGAGAAGGAGTCAGAGAGGGCCCAGGTTTTTTACAAGGCAGCCCAGTTAAGCCCATCGGAGTGGGTCAGAGTCGTCAGAGTGGGTACCGCCCAGCCCAGGGCTGCGTTCCAAATAGCACCCTATTCCCTATGAAGTGCCCTACTTTTGACCAGGGCCCATAGGGCTCTGGTCAAAATTAGGGCACTATATAGGGAATTTGTGCCATTTGGGATGCACACCCAGGCGGCTCTTAGATGGGATTAAGGGACGACAGCGGTAAGGGAAAGAAAGGGCAGCGTGGAACGGAGAGAGGCACCGGCACAGCCAGATCTCAGCACCAATGAGTTCCAGATGGAACCCTAGGCCCCCAGTCAGGTTCTCACAGATAGGTTGCATCCCAAATGGCTTTTGACTTTTGAAAGGTAGTGCACTATAAAGGGAATAGGGTTCCATGTGGGACGCAGACATAGATACACTGCCATACCTCCGCAGCTCTAGAGAGGGGATACTACTCTGCAAGGGGCTTAAACTTGGCTTCTTTATAACAGAGACTGCTTTTTATGTGGAAAGTTATCATAAATTTACGTCTGCTGCTATGTCTGTCTTTTTATGCTCTATTCAAGCTAGCTACAGCCGAAAAAAGGTAATCATAAATTGAAGGATGAGAATTAACTTTAGTTTTTTTCCCAGTAGGTTCTTAAGAGTGTCTTTTGGGTGTCTCCTGTTTTACAGGCAGGTTGTTCAAACCACATGAAGCTTTTATTTCTCTGTCCTCACCTCTCACACAGCACTGTTTCTGTTAGCCATCGTTGGCCTCTCAGCCATTGTAGGATAATCAAATCAATAGAGATTATTTTGTAGTCAAATGACTCTTGACTGAGTCTGAATTACTTCCTTTTCAGATTATAAAATGGTCCAATATTCCCTCTTTTTCTCTGTTGTTGTGTTTCCTTTCTGCTCTTAGATCTGGTTGGCCCCAGCTGCAGTCCGATTCTGCTCTCTCCTCCAGATCTACAGCCCTGCCCAGTAGAACCACCTGGATTCAGTTGGACATCCTCCATAGAAACATGGAGGCCAGTCTAACTCTTCAGCCTCACAACCACCATATCCACCACATATACACAGCCATTCTAACCATACTTCCTCCCGGTGTGCACATGTGAGAATAACACATTTGTGTATATTACAATACACATGGTTTATTACTAATGATATCCTGTATCTCATTATTGTCATACTTGTGAATTGTATGATGCTCTATGTCATAAATATGTATCTTAATGAGTTAGACCAGATATTTTATTTTGTATATAAGTGTAAATATTTATTATGGTCAAATGATGATTTGTACCCACAATAGTTAGGTTCTCTTGTGTAGACACACTGTAAGGCACCACATCCAATCATTTCTACATTCATTTCAGAGAGGAAATTATCTATATTTCTTGTATCTGTGGTGTATGTATTGTGAGGTATTTGTCACACCAGTAAAGGTGTATACATAACCTAAGTTGCCCATACAGTATATGGGAAAATACATGCATTGCCACTGTCATTTTAAGTACAAATGTAATTAATGTTCAAGATACTAACAGGATCTCTGTTGAAAATATCAGCACCCCTCTTATCAGGCAAAGAAAGATCTAGTTGCCATTATCAGTCATGTCGAATCGCCATTATCAGTGCACCAAGTTCTCACCCACCGTTTGACATGGTAGACATTTCATCCTGTCTGAAGACCCTAGAACTCTGGCCATTGATTTGTTGGAGTGGGAAGAGAATGAGGGAGAGCGAGGATGAGGGCGAGAGAGAGAGAGAGAGAAGAACGAGAAAGAGAAAGGAGAGAGAGAGAGAGAGAGAGAGAATATTAGCTGTGAGAAAGGAGGTGCTGACAAGAGCCAGGCCAGAACCATCACCATAACTCAGGACCCTAATGATTGCTGTGTGTTAGAGAAAGCAGAGGGCTACAGGACTGGTATGTATGTATGCCCTGAGAGATCTGACCTCCTTTACCTCTACCATTCATCTACATACTGTACTGTACAGCCACGCTGCCCTGACACACACACATACACACACACTGACATATGACATACACACAAATTATTTCATTTGATAGATAACTAACCCAGTCAATGTTCATGGTATGATGCCATTTAGGTGGGTGTAGTTGTTGTTTATGTTTAATAATGTCTTTGATAGCTTGATTGGTTTTTAATAATAATAATTTGGTGGGTGCTTATATTTGTCCTATTTCACACATGTACAAGTGTGTATTAATACGCATATGTGAATTGGAAATGTGTTTTTTGCATATCCAACCTCTCCCTGAGACACCCTCTGAGAGTGGGTTCATGGCCAGGGTCTGCCGTTATAATTAGCGACCCTGGAGCCTTGCTCAAGGGAAATAGAAATAGAATGTCTATTTCTGTGGGCCCAACGCTCTAACCTGCTAGGCTACCTGCCGCCCGTAATGATTGATGTGAGCTTATGTGTCTTAGATCACCAATGACAGGTAGGTGCTAGTGGAGGATAGACAGAAATTAATTTCAGACTGAATCCATTCCCATTATTATTACCAGTATAAAACATCCGCAAAGCTACTCTGTTGAGCTTTTCATCTTTTTGGAGTAAACATAACGCTAAGCAACAATGGGAGGCATACAAATATTTATTTCATCAGATGTGCAAAATAAAATATTCAAAGAAGTTATATTGAATAACAAAAAAAATGAAGGGATAACGTGGGTCTGCTAGGTAATAGACCCACCATATTGTTCTATTATTACCCATTCCTACTTGTCAAGGTCAGACAGGCCTTGCCGAATGTTACACAGTCGTCCCTGCTTCAGTTCAGCTCAGCTTGACTTCACAATGTGGCTCCTCGCCCGCCCCGCTCGGGCTGTTTTACATTTGCAGTCTTGTAAGGATTTTCCCAACTCAGTCATTTGGGGCTATGATTTGTGCGGAGCTCTGTGTTCTGCACTAGTGTTGGCTTAACAACGATTCCTTAAGCTCCCATCTGGTTGGCCAGGGACCTTCTCTGAAGTCCCACTTCAACAGGCGGGAACGCTGCTTCGGAACGGACCGCGGGTTTGTAGCCAAAGTGCTAAGCGTTTACTGCCCTATTGTGGTTCAAAGACTTGGGCTAATGCTAACTAAGGTCTGTTAGCCTAGCGGATGTTTGGCTTCATGCTAAGTGGTGTCATGCTAGCTTACAACATGGCTGGCAGAGGCTTATGGCTGAAGGTGAGATCTAGACCTACAAACACTTGAGCTCTGCTCAAATGGACTGCATGGGTGGGCTTGTTGTGTAGTTTACCTGCAGCCCATGTTTAAAGTTCAACAGATTTCTAACGAGCAAAGTTTCTCAACACAAGCGAAGATGGCAAATTAAATTAAGGCTTTACTCAAGGTCTCAACAAAACTTTGCAAAACTGCACACACACATCCATGTTCCACTCCCTCGTTTGCTGATAATAATATGATCAAGTTTTGCATTTAAATGTTTTTCTTAGAAAAGTTAATCAATTCATTACTGGTACATACGTGTCCATCTTAATCCTAAACACACTACTTCAAACACATCAAAGGCATAATGGATATTCTTCACTTTGCTGAACACATCTCCTTTTGACACTGTTTGACATTGATCGTTTTGGATGATTTTCTTAAGCCATTATATGGCATGCTTTTGCAGAATTCTATAGAGGGGTTCTTCCTCTGGAATACTCATCATCATCATCACAGTCACGATGCTCCTCCAGTCAGGATAACATGGGTCTGAAGGTGCAGAGCCTTTGGGCAGATGTAGGTTTCTATTGGAGTTTGGCCACTCTGATCTGCTTCCCCTCATGCTAAACTACTATAGCTTCCAATGTGCAACTTGGCAAGGTTTTCATGGCTGTATTTCAACATAATCTCACTTCAGATGCCTCACAGGCAGTTCAACGTTGGCTGGCTGGCTAGGGGGAATCTGGTTGATTCTGGACCGACCGTGTGGGTGGACATCGCCGCTGCCTCAGGAGCCACACAGCACCCCCTAGCCCTAGCTATCATTCCAGTGGGCCCCTACACTGCTCTGCCCCATCTGGTACTGGTAGAACGGGTCCCGGATGGATGGGGGGGCGCTCTGTGTTGGGAAGGCCGAGAACTCCCTGTGAGGCAGGAGAGGAGACCCAGGCCCAGGCTTCCTGTGGTACAGAGGAGGATGGACCACCGGCCTGCTATCCCCGGAACCAGGAACTGGTGGAGAGGAAGACGAGGCGGAGGATGACGAGGGGATGGCGGCCAGGCCTCGCTGTGCTGTGGCTGGACTGTAGACTCCTATGTCGGGCTGGGGGCGTGAGGGTCCGGAGGGGGTGTGGTGGGGCACCACGGAGGTGGCGGTGGCAGTACTGGTGAAGTGAGCAGTGAAGGGCTGGTAGGGGACGGCCTCCACTGTCTGCACACTATACCGGGGGTAAGGCTGCACCGACGCCCACATGTTGCAGTTCAGAGAGGGGGGAACCAGGTCGTCAGCACCCACAGCCCCGTGGCCGTTCTCTCCTTCCATCCCTCCGTACATACAGGCCTCCCTGGAGCTTATGGCCTCACCGCAGTAGGGGTGGGACAGCAGTGGAGGCTCGTAGGAGGGAGGAGAGCGGAAGTAGTGTTCCTCCGAGATTGATGGAGGCGCCGTGTCCAGATACGTCCGTTTACAACCCAGTTCCAGGTGCCTGGTGTTATCTGTAAAGAAATGAAGATTGAATCATCATAACTGAACGAAAAAACTCAATGTATCACCCTGCTGTCCTATGATGCTTCTTCATACTGTTCGGAACTGTGTACCAACCCATTTATATTGTGTGATATTGATGTGTAGCACCAAAAGATGTGTTGCAAGACAACAACGTTTTCTGAAAGACTAATGAGGACTTCCCATTTTCTGTGATTGACAGGTATGGAGATGTTCAGGTAGGTCTGTAGCTAACCCACCTCTGTGTTTGAAGCAGTGGTAGAGCAGGCTGGGCTCTCGGCTGGGAGGGAAGGGATTGGAGATGTGTTCCTGGTGGTCTGAGTTCCCCAGAGGCACCCCACCCTCATACTGGTAGTGGGACAGGACCTGGGGGTGCCCCGTCAGGTGACCGTGTGAGGAGAGGAGCCTCTGGCGAACCATGTTCTTAGAAATCACTGGGTAGTCTTTTCTACGGACAGGAAGATGGAGAAACAAGAACAGAAGGATTAGCGTTACAGTGTTGGGGAAGCTACTCTGAAAATATTGTTTAACAAGCTACCAATTACTTCACACTGGAAGAAGTTAAGCTACACCAAAGCTACCCTTAAGAAAAACATAGCTTACTTAACTAAAGTTACTTAGAAAAAGTTGTTCACTACATCCAAACTACTTAGTGAAAAGTTATATCTAAATCTGAAATGTCATAGACTACAAATTGCAAGAACAATTCACTCTGGAGTCAGATGTTGACAGAATGTGTAATTTAAAGACAAAAAGTGTAAATTATGCACAGAAAAAGAGTTTCAAGTGAGAATTAGGCAGGCCTGATACATTTTTTACTTTTTTAAAGGTACATTATTTGTTCTTTTTTTCTTTTTTTTTCTGGGGGATGGATCAGCTTAATATTGCAGATAGATTGTATCTTCTATCAATGTAATTGTCTGCATCACTTCCCCCATGTTTTTTTTATATATATACTCCCCTTTATTACTTTTCAACCCCGCCATCCTTTCCCTACTTGGAGTAAATTAGTGAACAACAATGCCCAGGCCTCTACTTCCGGCCTATACTTACTATCTACACCTTATGGACACAGTTAATTTTACAATAATTCTATTATATATATACAGTGGGGAGAACAAGTATTTGATACACTGCCGATTTTGCAGGTTTTCCTACTTACAAAGCATGTAGAGGTCTGTAATTTTTTATCATAGGTACACTTCAACTGTGAGAGACGGAATCTAAAACAAAAATCCAGAAAATCACATTGTATGATTTTTAAGTAATTAATTTGCATTTTATTGCATGACATAACTATTTGATACATCAGAAAAGCAGAACTTAATATTTGGTACAGAAACCTTTGTTTGCAATTACAGAGATCATACGTTTCCTGTAGGTCTTGACCAGGTTTGCACACACTGCAGCAGGGATTTTGGCCCACTCCTCCATACAGACCTTCTCCAGATCATTCAGGTTTCGGGGCTGTCGCTGGGCAATACGGACTTTCAGCTCCCTCCAAAGATTTTCTATTGGGTTCAGGTCTGGAGACTGGCTAGGCCACTCCAGGACCTTGAGATGCTTCTTACGGAGCCACTCCTTAGTTGCCCTGGCTGTGTGTTTCGGGTTGTTGTCATGCTGGAAGACCCAGCCACGACCCATCTTCAATGCTCTTACTGAGGGAAGGAGGTTGTTGGCCAAGATCTCGCGATACATGGCCCCATCCATCCTCCCCTCAATACGGTGCAGTCGTCCTGTCCCCTTTGCAGAAAAGCATCCCCAAAGAATGATGTTTCCACCTCCATGCTTCACGGTTGGGATGGTGTTCTTGGGGTTGTACTCATCCTTCTTCTTCCTCCAAACACGGCGAGTGGAGTTTAGACTAAAAAGCTCTATTTTTGTCTCATCAGACCACATGACCTTCTCCCATTCCTCCTCTGGATCATCCAGATGGTCATTGGCAAACTTCAGACGGGCCTGGACATGCACTGGCTTGAGCAGGGGGACCTTGCGTGCGCAGCAGGATTTTAATCCATGACGGCGTAGTGTGTTACTAATGGTTTTCTTTGAGACTGTGGTCCCAGCTCTCTTCAGGTCATTGACCAGGTCCTGCCGTGTAGTTCTGGGCTGATCCCTCACCTTCCTCATGATCATTGATGCCCCACGAGGTGAGATCTTGCATGGAGCCCCAGACCGAGGTTGATTGACCGTCATCTTGAACTTCTTCCATTTTCTAATAATTGCGCCAACAGTTGTTGCCTTCTCACCAAGCTGCTTGCCTATTGTCCTGTAGCCCATCCCAGCCTTGTGCAGGTCTACAATTTGATCCCTGATGTCCTTACACAGCTCTCTGGTCTTTGCCATTGTGGAGAGGTTGGCGTCTGTTTGATTGAGTGTGTGGACAGGTGTCTTTTATACAGGTAACGAGTTCAAACAGGTGCAGTTAATACAGGTAATGAGTGGAGAACAGGAGGGCTTCTTAAAGAAAAACTAACAGGTCTGTGAGAGCCAGAATTCTTACTGGTTGGTAGGTGATCAAATACTTATGTCATGCAATAAAATGCAAATTAATTACTTAAAAATCATACAATGTGATTTTCTGGATTTTTGTTTTAGATTCCGTCTCTCACAGTTGAAGTGTACCTATGATAAAAATTACAGACCTCTAAATGCTTTGTAAGTAGGAAAACCTGCAAAATCGGCAGTGTATCAAATACTTGTTCTCCCCACTGTATATATAACTATTTTTGAAAAATTATGCATATCCTATTTTCCATCATTATCAATTAATATGGGTAATAATGTCGGCAGTTCACGCGTAGGATTTTAACATATAACCCGGATTGCCATTGTATTACATTTAATTCATTGACAAGCAATTATTATCCTAGCAAATAATTCCCGTGGTCAATCCCATACCCCCCCCCCCCCCCCCCAACATCCCCACCCCCCCACAACAGATGCCAGACAAGCACACACGCACATACTCACATACTCCAACACACTCAACCCCCCTCCTCCACAATCCACCATAAAATCAGATACTCAACGGCTGTTATATCCCAGAGCCCAACTCGAGAAATAACCTGATTTACGAGTGCACATACAGTTAAAGCTGATTGAGAAAGCATGCAGATTGAGCAGAAATTGATAAGAATGTGAGATTTGATTAATCTACTTAATCTATGTCAAGTCCTAGTTGATGGAGATCAGATCCACCCTCTTCACCTGAGACACAAACACTCTGATCCCCTGTTGTAACCATTTTCCCAAGCATCTCTGTGCGGTCAGACCTTTGATTATTTTGTGCCACCTGGGCCACAATGATAAACCCCCTCTCTGATTGTCCGAGTGTGACCCCCTCCCCATGGGTTACTGCAGCCAGTGTTGCCAGCACTGCCACTACCTGGGTGGGCGTACCCCACCGGAATCCCCACCGGCTAGGTAAAAGGTCGTCAAGGTTCTCATTAGCAGCTTTGAGAATTTCCTTGTATATTATGCTCTCCCATCAGTGGGCTCTGGCTTTGTAGGACCAACCCTGCCAGGCAGGCTCAGAATCTTGAGGGGGCGGTGCTGCTCAAGTAGGTCTCTGACCGCATTTATTTATCTGTTTAGGCTGCATACTCACAGCAGGTCCATAAAAGAGATGGGAACTTCTCTTTGGTGTATGGGTCGCTCAGGTGGGTGTCCAGGTTATAGGGTTAGGGGGGATCTTTCCATCATGATAGGACAATAAAAAATTAGATTAGATTTATACTATATTTAAAAATGTATATCCCTCATCTACACAAAATTGAAAGCTCTCTCTCACTACCCCTGCTCATAGACCCCCGGTCGGCTCTGGGATATGCAACCATTTCCCCTCTCACTCACTTAACGCCGCACCTTTTCAAACACAAAAATGCACACCACATGGTTGACTGCGGAAGAAATGGGCCGAGCGTGCAAACGCACCCGCATCCACATCTGCCGCAAGGGGGAAAGGACGCCAGAGAGAACACAGGACCAACCACAACAACCATCCGCCAAAACAACAACCTCCCGTCAAAAAAGCCATGTTCTAATTATTTGTATTTAAAGATGTATTATTCTGCTTGTTATGTCGTTTTATCCTTTTATAAAATACTATGCTTACTATAAATGTTATTTAATATTACAACCCTATCATTGCTAGTATCGGGTGCATAAAGGTACATTCTTGCCTACACCCATATTTTATTTTATTTTTGCAAAAAAAATAGTAGTGTGTAGTTACAGTAGTTAGCTACACCCTTACATGGCAACTACTGAAAACACTACCAAGATTTGAATTTAGTTAAACTACCACCAAGCTACTGCAAAATGTAATTTAATTACTAGTTTAACTAAATGTAGTTCACTACTCCCCAACACTTGCGTTACAGATTCTACTTTGCAGAGAGAGAGCAATGTATTAAAGGAAGCAAGCACAGTTAATTCATTCACAGATGGGGAAAAAAATCTGCTAAAGGAAGAAATGGAACAAGTTCCAAAAAGATAAAATGGTTCCAATGAATGATGTACTGTGCCAAAAGTAGAATTGTTTCCATGATAAAGTAAGTATTCCATATACTTTTATTGAGTGGCACATTCCCATAAACATACAGAACATACCCCTGGAGTCTGGAGACACGCAGGTCCCCTTCGTCGCTGCCACGGAAACCCTTGGCAAACGGGTTGTTCTCGATCTTCAGCTGAGTTATCTAGGAAGACAGCAACATATCTTGTCACTGCACTCGAGACTCATCATGAAATGTGCAGCTAGGTTCAGTCAAAACTTGACTATGAAAACTTGACGATCTATAACTGTCCATTTTGGATTTTGAAGACATGCTCTCTTATTACTGACATTAGAAACATCAGACTATGTGTGCAGAAGACATACTGTACCTTATGGTTCTGGTATGAGGTGACGGAGATGAAGGCTGTCTCGTGAAACACGTGAGTGCAGTAGGCAGTGTTCTTAGACCCAAAGGCATTGTTCTCGTCGGCCTTGACGATGTGGAGCCGAGGCTGGTACTTGTGCATGGAGTTCAGGATTATCTATCAGGGGGAAAGAAGGAAAGGTAGAAGAAAATAAAAACAAGTACAAGGTCAGACGAACAACGAACGAAAATCCCCCTAGCCAGGATTTGTTTTAGTCACTCCCGAGTCGATCACAGCACACAGTCCTCTTAGGGGCACCAGTGAATGACCAGCCACCACCACAGTCTTAAGCCTTTTTAAGATGTTTTTTTTTTTTTGAGGCTAGTTTTTCCCCCTTTAAATTAATGGTTGTCCCTGGCCTAGATGCTAAATGCCAAGTGATGTATTGACTTGAATTGACTCATAGTGTGAATGGGGTGCTTAAGATGCTCAGGTTTTCCATGGCTAGCCTTTTTTGGAGGTAAGCCTATTTTAATGCTACTGGAGTCAGCATTAGTGTGCATACAATGCCCAACTTTGTCCATACAATGTGGACATTTGTAAATGTACTGTAGTTCAACGTGTTGATACTGAAAAGTGGGCACCCCTTTGTCACACTTGAGTTGCAACTGTATAGTGCATCAATCAGCACATGTGGAGCGTGCTCAATGTTTAGGTTGGGGGGGAGGGGGGTGGGGCTAGGTCAGCACATCGGCACCAGTCTGCTCAGAGTAGCCCAGTAGCCTTGCCACATGCTCACTGGAGCGTCAGCAGGGTTGGAGCAGGGTCATCTCCAGCGCAGCTCTGTCAGGGCCGATGAGCGTCAAGCTCTCCCACCTATCCTACCTTCTAGACTCATAGCCCAGTGGTACCAGAGCCTTGTCTTAAGAGGCCAGCCCCTCCAGGAGGCTACCACAGAAAGGGGTTAAGACTAATTGGGGAGGACAGGCTCATAGTAATGGCTGGAACGGAATACATTTAATGGTATCGAAAACATCAAATGCATGGTTTCCATGTGTTTTATACCATTCCATTCACTCCATTCCAGCCATTATTATGAGCCATCCTCCCCTCAGCAGCCTCCTGTGCTATCAGGCCACAGCCGGCCGGGGTCATGGTTGCACCCTGAACAGCCCAATGCTCACATGCCCCTGCCCCCTTTTGCTGAGGCAAGTTTCAGATAGAGATAATCAATTGGTTCATTGGCTGGCTACAGACTCTGTAGTGACAGGGAACGGATAGAGATAAGCTACTGGTTGGTTGACTGGAGACTCTCTGGTGACGACCTTTGTCTAGTCTGCTAGTCTGGCCAGTGTCTGTCTGGAGGCAGTGCAAGAAGGAGTCTGACTCTCTCTGTGCTGTCTGGTTGCATTGATCAGGACAAGCCTTCCTTGGATCAATCCAGAACCAAATTGTGCATTCTCTCTTTCATCTTTTGGGTAAAAATGCCAGCCCCAGACAGTCTACTAACTGGTTTATAAACCAAGACACTCAGTGACAGCTGGGAAGTGACAGCATTTCAGGAATGATTCCTTGGACCATCTCTTGGTCAACAGTAGCACGGGTCAGTGGGAGCCCAGATCCCAGATCAGTGATAGTGTTTTTACTGCTGATGCTGAGCAGGTCAGCAGCGAAGGGAGGGGCAGAGTTTGTGGGGGATGGTCAGGAAAGGGAACGGTTGTCATAGATCTGAGGTTGAATCAAGCTGACGGCCATCCTGCTCTGGACTGTGGACTAGCAGCCATGCTGACCCACATACTTGCACACACAATAATGCAGACCGCATACTCTCATATACATAAACAAACACACTTGAAAAGACACACTCTCAAATGCACAAACAACAGAGTCTGTCATTGACTGTCATTAGCTTACTTCACAAGCTGTTTTATTTCAACTGTGGGTCAGTTTAGAGCAGGGGTGTCGAACTCATTTTGCCCTGGGGCCGCATTCGGTCTTCAATTTTCTATGCTCCCTGACTGTCTAGCTTTCATTTCAGTGATTATTAGCGAGCTGGATTTTACCCCCCCCCCCCCCCCACCACCATGGGCCGTATGCCATATATTTGACACCCCTGGTTTAGTGGGTCCCCCTAGCCAGGATTTGTTTTAGTCACTCCCGAGTCGTGGATCCAGTGCTATGCAGGCCAGAGGGAGAGGCTCTCTGGCTCCCCTGCTGGCGTGGGCTGTTCTATCAGCAGGGCTTAGTGAGACCTGGCCTCTCTCTCTCTCTTTGTCCTCATTATTCACCCTTATCACTATCCAGGCGGCGGACTCAACCTGACAGCGGGCCCCGCCGCTGATCCCAGAGGGTTATGAACCTAATGAGCTCGCCTTCTGACGGGATGGCTTTGGACAAGTCTTCTCAGAGTTCCTCTGGGCAGCACTGCTACCGCAGTCACACTTCTCACTTCCCTCTGTGGCAAGACACTCACTTTCTCTCATATGCTTTCTCTCTCTCCCTCTCTTCTCTCTCCGTCACTCCCTCTTTCACCCTCTCTCCTGCTCTCTTCCTTTTCCTCTCTGGCCATCTTTCCTCGACTCCTTGCCCCTCTCTCCTCTATCCCTCTCTTTTCATGAAGACAGCTTTATGACTCTGTCTCTTGTTAAAAAACACATATATTCTGCTGTTGTTTTAACACCAGTCTATTTAAGTCTCATCTACTGTGTAGTTTTGACAAAATGAGCCGTGTCCAGTCCCATCTTGTTTTACATGGCCAGGAGAAGTGAGAAGCTCTATTGTGTGAAATGACCCAGTGCCTTCCTGGGATATGAATTGACCTACATTGTGAGGCATCAGTAAAGGGGGATACCTAGTCAGTTGTACAACTGAATGCATTCAACTGAAATGTGTGTTCCGCATTTAACCCAACCCCTCTGAATCAGAGAGGTGCGGGGGGCTGCCTTAATCGACAATCATCGGCACCCGGGGAGCAGTGGGTTAACTGCTTGCTCAGGGGGCAGCACGACAGATTTTTACCTTGTCCATCTTTCGGGTATCAATCCAGGCAACCTTTCGAGTGATAACTGGCCCAACGCTCAAGGAGAGCAGCACGAAGAAGAGGGGGGTAGGCCGCAAGCGAGACGGCGTAATTGATCGTAGGAGCGAGCTTATCGATGCGCTTTGAAAACTAGCGTCGCCGAGCGACTCGCAAGGATCTCTCTCATAGCTCTCTGCTCGTCTATATCTCTCACGTCTCTCGACTGAGCTCTATGAGCGCTCTATCCATCTATCTCTGCTCTATCTCTATCTCTCTCCTCTATCTCTCTCTTTCTCTCAACTCTCTCTCTCTCTCTCTCTCTTCTCTCTCTTCTCCTCTCTCTCTCTCTTCTCTCTCTCGTCCTGCATTATTTTGAGCAGTCAAGCTGTTGATCACTTGGCCCTGCTGATGCAACTGTTGTGACAGGCAGACCACTTGGCTCTGTGACAAAGTACTCCTGTTACTCCCCCAAGTGTTGGTGATCTTAGTGACTTTAAGGGCCAGGTGTGGGGTCACCTGGCCAAAATACCTGTTGTTGTTGTTGGGCAATTGTCCAGCATATGCCCATCGTTTTGTTGTGGTCTGTTCTTGTTACTGTTACATGTATTTTTAGTATATTTGAGTGAATGTTAGCCTGTGTGCTGGGATCCTGTAGGTAGGTAGACTGAGGGTCACTCACATGGCCAAAGGGGTCCAGGTGGTTGTTGGTGAGCTTTAGCTTCTGGAAGGACACCATCTGCCTCATCCAGTGGGCTCCTGTAGCCGGGGAGTCTGGATGGACATAGAGCCTCCCTGGCATGGCCGGCTCCGCCTTGCCTGCCACCATCCTGAGTAGAAAGAGAAGAAGAGAGAGAAGAACGAGAGTGGGAAGGAGAGAGAGAGAGAGATGAAGAGAAAAATTAAGGCGCAACGTCATCATCATCATAAGGACCCCTTGGCTTGCAGCAACCAACGACCATTACTCTGCCAAGATGGCTCAGCCATTGTAGCAATCCAGCAAACATATGCAACCCAGCAGCCCTGTGATCTAGCAAACCCTATTGTCAACCTCTTGTCACGGCATGGCCAAATCTTCCAGCAGCCACACGACTCCATTCAGGCTCACCGATTGGCCGCTCAGACTGAAGAATCCATTTTTATACCAAACACATGTAGCTACAGTCAATAATGGCAGCGGTTTCAGCCCTCACAATATGGGCTATGGGAACCATTCCCCCAGACTGGAGGTGGTGGTGGTGGCTGCTTCAACCGTAACATCACTGCTAATTACGCTCCTCCAAGGTGTCGCTGAGAGACTCCAGAACCCCACGCTGGCAAACGCTGGGATTCCAGGCCCTTCCAGGCCATCCCACAAAGATCTGGAACAAATGGCTGTAAAAAAAGAAATGGCTGGGTTTCTGCTGGAGAAAGCAAAGCGGTGCATTTTATGGAGGCTTTGGCTGCGTCTCAAATGGTACCCTATTCCCTACATTGTGCACTACTTTTGACTATGGGCCCTGGGATTAGGGCACCATTTGGGATGCATCCTTTTCTTTTCTTGGCGTGACGTCGGGTTCTGGTTTCAGTACACCCTACCCTGGATACGGTTGTTTTGTAATTTGCACGGCCGGCAGTGCCAACGGTTGATGCCGCTCCGGTGGGCAGCGGCAGAAGCAGGCTGTGGTGGCATCACCGGTCATGGCTAGAGGGATACAGTTTATGTCAAATTGATGTCAAAAGTTGCATTTTAGCTAACCTTAACCCTTTTCCTAACCTTAACCTAACCTGCTATGTTAATTCTCCAAACCTGTTACGAAAAGTCAATTATTTCTGGTCAATTCTAACATAAGCTGTATCCCATCTAGGCATCACCCAAGGCATAGGGTCACTGGAAGGACAGCGGGTACAGCCCAGCTGTTTTTAGCCTGTAGGTTTTGACAGGCGGCTTGCCAGTGCCCTGTGGTAATGAACTGTGTGCTAATGACGATCCGTAGCTACAGTTTAGTTAGCACAGCGACTGAGACATGAGGTTCTGCTCTTGGTGTGCTCTGAAATAACAAAGGAGCATGCATGGCATGGCACTATTATAACATGACCTCAATAACAACAAAGTTGCCTGTGGACTTGTCACTTAAAATATTACAGTACTAGAGATTCTGATGATCATCATACTGTATTTGCATCATCTCTCTCATTCTGAGAAGTGGTGATTTTTCTCTGCAGCCAGGATGTTTGAAAATGGTTGGAAGAATGTCCTTTTTGTCTTAAACGATCCCCTTTTTGTGGGAAGAGGGGATTAGGCCACTCCTTTTCACAAGAGCAATGATTAAATTGACAGAAACCAGTTGGTTTTCCTCATTATTCAACCACAACAGACAAAATTTAGGCATTCCATGACTGGAGGCAGCAAGTGCCTGGACTCACGCTCCATCTCTCCATTCCATCAATGAACGGATACAGATGAACGAATTAACAGATGAGTAGGAGATGAACATCACACATGTTGGTCTTGAACACAAGCAAATGTTGTTAACCAATACACACACAAAAATGAGGGTTCCTGAAGAGTTCTTTGTAAAGGGTGATGGTTCTATGTGGATCCATACTGACCCAAATAACCATTTGAGCCCTTCAATGGTTCTTTGCAGTTTGCAGAGTCAAAAAAGAGTTCTTTCCTCTTTTAGTGATAATTAAAATGTAGGTGCGGCAGCTCATTAGAATATTTTGGAGCGTGGTTTGCGCACCATTCTTTTTGTACAACTGTGAGTGAGAGTCATTCCAGTTTATCTAATCTTTTTTGTTATGCCATGTTGAAAATGACTATGGCCAATGACGGTGTTTTGTGTAAGACTCACGTATGGTATGGCCTTGTGTCAATTGAGACTGGCCCACTGTTGTGTAAGTCAGTGGTTCTCAATTCTCTCCTTAAGGACCCCCAGCCTTTCCAGAGCTAGCACACCTGATTCAACTTGTCAACGAACACAATAATATAACCTATGGAATTTTAACAATATAATATGGCTAACCAGAAAAAAATAACCCTGTATGGTTCTTCAAAAGGTTCTTTGTAGAACTTTTGAGATTGAAAATTGTTTTTTATAGAACCAATCTCCATAAAGGTTCTATAAAGAACCTTTAAAAAGTGTTGTACTGTATAAAGCACCAAAAAGGGTTATAACCATAGCGGAACCCTTTTTGGTCCTATATAGAACCTTTTTTTATAGTTCTTTATAGGAAAGGGTTCTTTATAGCACCATAAAGGTTCCATTTAGAACCGTATGAGCATGGTTCTTTATAGAACCTTAAAAAAATGGTTGTATATAGCACCAAAAAGGGATCCGCTATGGTTACCATCCTTTTTGGTGCTGTATGGTTACACACAGTGGCAATTTTAGCATGTAAATCTTGGTGGGGCAAAAATAAATACATTGTGATGCATGCCAGCATAGCCACTACACAACACAACACTAAACAATACATTAATTGCACTATAACGGTGACAACCCACAAACTGTTAGGGCCTACATAAAGCTGTCCCAACACCTTACCATTGCTACACCTGGCTATCAGCGGAGCCTTGTCTGGCAGCGAAACAGTTCATTCAGCATCATTTACTGCCTTTTAAAAAAACATAGCTGATATGGTTGACTTGCTTAAACAAATGTGGTTTCTACTGACAATTGAGATGTACAAACTATGGCATAAGGGGACGACAAGCGGATAAGAGGCGATCCGTAATTTCGATTAAGACAATGAAAGAGGTACGACAGACGTAGTCAATATAACTATTTGTTCAGCACTTTTGAAATGTACAGCGACAGAATTCAGAACATGGGCCGTTCTTACAGTGTTCTCCCTGTACACCAAGTCAGAACCGTAGGATAAATAAAGGGGGCATATAAGCAGACAATGAAAGCTCTAACAATTTCCGATGATTACATTTCTCTAAAACAGGTTATAGGCTACATGTGCACCACCAAGTCAGAACAGTAGGCGAAATTAAGAGGTGAAAATATACCAAATTATTAGTGTGAGGCACATGGGCTACTAACAGCTTACTACACAACATACACTTAGTATAAATTTCTTAGCTACAGTATACATATCTCCCTGGCATATTACATAATTTATGCAGCAGCATACAATACATTTTTGGACTCACGTTGTTGTGCTTACTTGAACAGGAAGGTGGCGCGGCGGTCCTTCGTGGGCAAATTCTGTCATCAAAGAAAGTGGCTGGATTTACAATTCCGAGTTGGATGACCGTTCAAAATGTCTTTTCCCAGTCGGAGCATGTTTATTCCCGACTTCCCAGTTGTCTTGAACTCACTGGAAGTCAAGTTTTCGCAGTTCCGAGTTCACAGTTGTTTTGAGCGCGGCACAAATCATGCTTCATTGACAGCATGGCCAATGTTGAATGTTTATCATTTTAAGCTTGGAAAAGAGACCCTTAATCACAGATTTGGGACCACACAGACACTCCACTGAATAGCAGGCTAGTGATTGCTTTGCAATACTTGCAGTTAGCCACTGTCACCGATTCTTTCCAAACCACTCATTGTTGAATTTGCGATTTCCAACTTGTTTATGTCCAATGGCCGATGAGCACTGATACGTTTTATCTATAATTTCTCTTCATTATTTCTCTTCATATGACAAGGATTAAAAAGGATTTGCCAGTAGATTGTCGACTTGATTCATGATGATGACTGCTAGCTAAGATTTATAAAGTAAGATGTTGACATGATCAGTCCAGTCAAAGCTACTGTTCATATAACGTAATTTGACGTCATTTTATCTATGGCCAATGACCTTGAGCCTTCTTGGAAGGGCACTTCTAACTCTATGGCAGGACCCAACGGGCTAGAATTTTCGATGTCTACCCTTACTAAGGACTTAGACTTGGTGGTGATGTAGTGTCCCCATGAGTGACAGAGCACTGAGCCAATCACAGCGCAACGCTCCTATTTTCTGCTGGCTTGCCCCACCACCACAGAAAGCACTGAGCTAGGCTGAAACACCTGCATTTTGGAGCTGCCTTACTCAAGAAAACAAAAAAGAGACCATGTTTGTATGCGGCTTTATTACAGTTTTTCTCAATTCTTTACACACAAATACTGGTACTTGAGACACAATGACCACAACATGTAACTCATGCACCAACCCCCTGAACCAATTCTGCTAAACTACAAGCACAATTCCTGCTTTACACTCAAATTGCAGTTCTACAACACACTTTTTTCAAAACACTACACACAAATCTTTGCATTTGGCACAATTTTCATGCAGAAAATCTCTTGTTTTCACAATGAACACACTGCCATTCAAATATGCACACTGACTCATCACATGGGCAAACACCCGTCACACAGTTTTACAATTAGCAATCAGAGCTTTAGCATAAAAGGGCAACAGGTGAGCTCTTCTGTTTTGGAGCAATGGATGCCAACATTGGAAACAGAGGCAGAGCCAGAGGAGTGAGAGTAAGAGGAGGAGGACGGGGAGGACAAGGACGAGGACGAGGACGAGGAAGGCCAAGGACCGTAATCTCTGATGAGATCCGAGCCACTTTGGTTGATCATGTGGTCAACCATGGTCTAACAATGAGGGAGGCTGGGCAAAGAGTACAGCCAAAATTGAGCAGGTACACTGTAGCATCCATCATCCGGACATTCCGAAATGAGAATAGGTAAGAAATCTACTCTCACTAGAAAATTGCAGTACAGCATATCAATACAGTACTCAATGAGTATAGTAGTACAGTATTGCCTGTGGACTGTTCTGTAGGGCTGTAAAAATAAAGTATGTTTTAAGTATTTGGGAAATGTATTTCTACTTTGTATTTACAGCATTTTACTATTTGTTTGGCAGAACTGAAAGATTACCAACACAAGGTGGTCGGGAACGTGTTCTGTCTCCTGAACAGGAAACTGAAATCATGAACATGGTCCTAGAAAATAACGCCATAACATTACGGCAAATACAAAGAAAAATTATAGAAAACAATGAGATATTTCAAAATATTGATAGGGTAAGCTTATCAACACTGGACCGTGTCTTGCGCAGAAATAATCTCAGGATGAAGCAGGTCTACAGGGTGCCATTTGAACGCAATTCAGAAAGAGTCAAATAATTGCGATATAACTATGTGCAAGTGAGTCCTATACAATCCCACAATTGATGCATACTCTCAACATTGTATAAATTATACATATTTCAGTATTGTAATCATAATGATTGTGCATCACAATAGTGACCACTCCATGTCTATTTCTGATATTGTCATGTGTGTTTCAGAGAGTCCTTGAGCTAGAGGTGGCTGCAGTGGAGCACCAGTTCATCTTCATTGATGAGGTTGGATTCAACCTCACAAAAATACGAAAGAGGGGAAGGAATATCATCGGCCAGCGTGCCATTGTTCAAGTCCCTGGCCAGCGCGGAGGGAACATCACAATGTGTGCAGCGATTACCCACCACGGCGTCATCCATCACCATGCTACCCTTGGCCCCTACAACACCGCCCATCTGATCACATTCCTGGACACCCTACACAACACACTCATTCCTCCAGATCAGGTAGATGGCCCAGAGCAGCTCAGGTACGTTGTCATTTGGGACAACGTAAGTTTCCACACGGCTGCTCTTGTTCGTAACTGGTTCACTGCCCACCCACGCTTTTTAGTTGTTTATCTCCCTCCATATTCTCCATTCCTCAATCCTATTGAGGAATTTTTTTCTGCCTGGAGATGGAAAGTGTATGACCGAAATCCACAAACGCGTATACCTCTTCTCCAAGCTATGGAAGACGCATGTGGAGATATAGCAGCTGATGCTTTATGGCTGGAATCGCCATGCTAGGCGATATTTCCCCCGCTGCTTGGCCAGGGAAAACATTGCTTGTGATGTGGATGAGGTGCTGTGGCCAGACCGCAACAGAAGAGAGGATGCAGCATAGTTTTTTATTTTTTTATTTTTTTTACTGTAACTGTATACATTAAATTCTTCTGTTTTGTATGTAGACCACTGTATGTGCAACTTTGTGTTGGTTGGGAATGGGATGTACACTGTGTACATTGTTTTTGTGGGGAAAATGAAATATATTTGTTACTGTGTATTTGTGTGTTCTGAGTATAAAAACAATATTCTCAAATATTTTACAACACACTTATGTATGTACTGTCTGTAATAATGGCAACACTGAACCAAAAAAAGGCCTAAGTCATTATGATGAATGGAGAAGAAGTGTTTTCCATTCATCATAGTGTTTTACATTGAGCACATCAGTGTTCAACTGGTTCTTATAAATGTATATTCATATGATGGTTTGTGTGTGTCATTTGAAAACAAAATACCATTTTGATAAGAAATAACATTGTTTTGAATGTAAAGTTTCATTTTGCTGGAGAATTGAGGGGTTTTGCCCATTGTGTGTGTGTTTTTTGATTTGTGTGTAGAGTTCTGAGAATATGAGGCATGCTTTCAGAAAATGTGTGTAAACAATCGAGAAAAACTGTAACTCAATTATATATTTTTTTTACATTGTTTGCAAACTGATATGTGAGACGTATTAATGCAAAAATAACATGCAAAACAGGCAAGCCCCCCAAAAAAATTAATGTCTGAATGACAGGTCGCCACTGGTTACACATGTAACAACGTTCCATTATCCAACATGACATTGTGAAAGGAGAGGCGGTATAAATAAAGAATATAACGCAGAAAACATGTTCATTTGTACCCTTCCATTTATTTGGTTTGCATAATGATGTCACAGCATGTAAAGTGTTTGTTCCAGAGCCTGCTGGGAACAGGGCCCTCCGCCAGGGATGTGTGTGTGTGTGTGTACTGCTTGTCTGTGTGTATACTGAATGTGGGAGGCAGCATCACCTCAAGCATATAAAACTGTCTGAGAGTGTTAAATGTCTCTCTCATTTGCACCCACCGTTATTGTCTACTCTACAGCGTTGGTGATTCTTTTCCCAAGGTGAGAGGAAGTCCTCTGCAGAGAGGTGGGGATGAAGCTGTGGGGTTGAGAAGAGCTATTTTCACCTTGCTTAAGCTCACCGCTCCCTCCCCAACCTCCCTCACCACCCCATTTCTTGACCCCCCTTTCCATTTCAAAACATCCCTGCCTCCTGAGGTCTAAAGCCAAGCAGCATCTGAGACAGAGACGAATGGGTAGATTTCTCATAACAACCATTAAGGATGTTACTCATCTAAGCCCTGAGCTTAGAGAACTTGAGCAATAATGCAAACTGGAAGAACTGCCCTGACAAGGTTTTTGGCAGGATTTTATAATTGTCTTTGTATATTTTGTATACTGATGTGTTGTATGTATTGCTGTATTGTCTGTTTTTAATATGTACATTTTTGTATTGAGTGTATAGCTGCTGTCTTGGTGACCAGGTTTCCCTCGTAAAGGAGATTCCTTATCTCAAGGGTCTTCCATGTTAAATAAAGAATAACATTTTAAAAAAGGTGTCTCTGACTAAACTCACCACTTGTTGTCGCAGAACTTGTAGCGATGGTCATCAGCGGGGACGATGTCTGTGAGGAGGATGTACTTGGTTTTGGGGTTCATGCCTGTCACTTTCACCTTGTAGCTGGGGAACATCCTCCTGTGAAGGACACGAGAAGGGTCTTAAATTAAATTAGACATTCCCTAATGACGATGATTTCACCCACCATAATACCCACTAGACCTTATGCTCGCTCCCCAACTCACTCAAACACGAATTGGGTCAGCAGGTGTTTCGTTATTGGTGACAACGTCACCTCATCCTGATCCAATTTGGAAAGACTTGCCATTAGCTTCTAAGCACCTTTAGTATCGTAAGACCCGTAAATACAGAGGTTTATTTAATGCCTTTTGTCTTCGTGCTGCACTCACACCTTGGAGCTTTGAACGGGAATCAAGGTGATAAGGCGCTTTGGGCGATGATTTCACCCAAGCTTTTTGAGCACCTAAGTACCTTCCCTCACCTAGCTAGCTTAACCTGGAAAAGATTTGCCTCTTGAGATGAGCTAATGAAAATCGGCTTGAGCCCCAAGGTGTCTCTCCATGGGGCTGAGCGCACAGTGTAAGCATGCATAAGAGGCTCTTCTCCGGCTTTGCAGGAGGGTTTTAGCCAGCCCTGAGTGTAGCATCAGCACGGAAAGTGTTCTCCCCGCGGCAGATGAGCGGACAATTAGCGCTCAGAAAGCGGCTCACGCCAGGCTTAGAGACTGATTGGGATGAGTAAGGAGCTAGAGAGGTCACAGGAGATCACAGTTGAGGGAGGTATGTAAAGTACAATCCCACTGGGCACAAACTGGTTGAATCAACGTTGTTTCAATGTAATTTGTCAACGTATTGTGACATGGAATCTACGTGGAAAATACATTGGATTTGAAAAAATCGTGTAGCCCTGTGTAGCTCAGCTTTCGACATTATATCCACTATCAGAAAAAAAAACTGTAGGCTGGGCAGCACCTCCTACTGGAGAGTTGATCTAGTTAGAGCTATTCATTTGGTCTCCCATACAGGGTTATAACCAAGCCCAGACCTGCTTAGCTTTGATATTTGTCACTCACTACTAACAATGTACTATCATGAGAATGATTACTGTGAGATCTCTTAATAACTAAATCTATTCACTCTTGCTATCAAAGTCATTCCAAAGGGATAGGTTTAACAGAGCAAATGAAATGTAAACATACTTTATAAGTCATATATAATCAATTATACTATTTAGGCCTATATAGCATTTGCAAAGTCATCAACAGCTTTTGATCATGTAGTAACCAAAAAAGTGTTAAACAAATCAAAATATATTTTATATTTGAGATTCTTCAAATAGCCACCCTTTGCCTTGATGACAGCTTTGCACACTCTTGGCATTCTCTCAACCAGCTTCATGAGGTAGTCACCTGGAATGCATTTCAATTAACAGGTGTGCCTTGTTAAAAGTTAATTTGTGGAATTTCTTTCCTTCTTAATGCGTTTGAGCCAATCAGTTGTGTTGTGACAAGGTAGGGGGGGTATACAGACAACCAAACACAATTCAATATGGAGCCGGTTCCAACACGAGTTAAGCGTGCGTAAATGGAACATTTTTATGCACTTTTCTCTCTACGCGTATACTGACCTTGAACTTAAGCATGAGAAAAGCATGGCATTCACCCGCTATTATTTTGGGGTGGAGCTCGAATACATTAAGGTGTGGCAGAGGTATAGCCTACATTATCATTCCATTTCATTACATTGTTTCGTTTACGTTCATTTGCTTCTTCTGTAAACGCCATCACGGCCATGTGGTTGTTGCTGAGGATCATTAGTAACAGTTGTTAATATTTTTAAAAAGACATGTAGGCTAATTAAATCGTTATGGAGCGAAGCGCAGACCAAGCTGTAACAGTTTGAACCTGATGCATGGAGCAATACTTGGCTGTGTCATCACACGGTTCCATGGTTAGTGCAGGCAATAGACAAGGGTATAGCCTACTACTGTACACTATTCTCCCTATTGTAATTATATGTACACTAATCTTCCAACATTACCATGGGTTAAAGAACTGAATGTGGCAATTTTCTGAATTAATCAAACCACTGTTTTCTTACTTTCGTGCATAAAGGCTCTCCTAACCTGTTTTTATGATTCCTAAATACTTTCCTAACCCTAAATAATCTACAAGATCAGAGTATTGTTTTTATCTACCAATTGGTGCTGAAACATAGAATAATATGCATATATTTAGATGGCTTTCTTTCATGATCCCTAATATTCTGAACCCGTTCTCTCGATATATTCTAGTGAGTCTGTGGACAAAATTCTAACTAAAAGGTACACCGTATTTAAAGGGATGGCTTAAGATAAATGTAATGAAAACCCTATTGAATGAAAACTCCATGAGAAGATATATTGACCAGCAAGTGGGAGGGTTTTCAAGGTTGAATTACATTTATTCAGTGCGGGCAAGAGAACCACGCCTGCAAAGCCCGTTACGCACCTACAAAAGGTACGTCTGAATACCAACTACTGAGAAGTGCGTAGGAAAGGCGTGCATAAGAAAGGCTAATTTCCTAAATTGGAATCGGGCCCTATCACTTATGTAATACAGTAAATAGCCTATTAACTTGTCGGTAAATTAACAAATTACATGTTGGATTCACGTCTCCAACTAAACCAAAAATAAAAGTTAAAGAATAGGATTAAGCCAGTGGCTCAGATGAAACTATATACTATCCAAGCATTAGATCTCCTTTAAATGTTGATATTTGGTTGCGTTGTCAACCAAACACAATTCAATATTACTTTTGTAATACAGTCAATAGCCTAAAATTAAGGCTTTCTTACAAACTAATGTAACAGTATTTATTCAACCTTAAAATGAGTAACACATCCATGGCCACATTTTGAGGTTAGCCTAATGGAACTATAAATGTCTTCTTATATAATCATAGAACACGTGCATGTTCAAGACAGCATGCAAAGGTCGCAGATCTGTGGAGATCTTCACAATTGCTATAATAATCTGCGCAGAATCTCGAACAGCATTGATCACTCGCACTATGTACTTTTTATGTAATCTCAACTACAATCCAGGTCATTTGGTTGTGTTTTTAGATGAAGCACGGTGATAACACATTAAGTTGTTGTATGAATACAAAATATCTGATATTGTATTCCCATTTGAACTTTGCTGTGCTTTTAAATGGTTGAAAGCGCAGTGATAACACATTTCGCTGACAACTTCACCAAAAATCTGAAGAAAAAAAATCCATTGGAATTTGGTTGTGCTTTTAGATGGTTGAAAGCATAGTGATAACACATTGGGAATTCAACAAACTTCTGGCTGTCTTTTTGAGTGGGTGAATAAAGGTTGACATCTCATTGATCAACATCTCAGAGAGAGCGCAGCGGCAGCAGCGCCATAAAAAGACAAGTGTAGGAAAGCTGTGAGTGTAGCTCTCTGTTCTCATCCGTCTCAGAGAGCGAGAGGGAGTGACTCAGGAATGATAGACAGAATATGCTAATATAGCAGACAAGGCCATAAAGCACATGAATGGCGCTACCTTCCATGACCTCTTCCCTGAGAAATGGCTCTCTTTTTCATCCAATCTGCGTCAAAGCAAAAAGTTGCAAAGGGATCTGCAGCACCCTTTATAAACCCCTAAGTGCTTTTTAATGGCGGTTCGGATCGGACAGCAGTTTTTACATCTGACTTGTCATCGTACCGCATCACCCCCTGAGAGTAGGGTCGGTCAAAGGGTCTGTACTCCAGTACAGTTGATCTGCTGCTTCCCCTTCTCCTGGCAACAGGTTAAAATAGTGGGAGTGTGAGACACACTTGTGAAAGGCTGACGGTGACATGCTCTCTGAACAGATGAATGTAAGAGCAGGCAGATAGCAGGGGGCCCCCTAAGCAGGCCAAGCATAAGGCTCTGGGATGCATCAAAAGTAGTGCACTATATAGCGAATAGGGTGCCATTTGGGACCCAGCCTCTATCTGCTGCTAACGCATAAGGCTTCAAAGGACCCATCCCAGATCTTTCTGGCCTGACAGGAGCCCTAGTTCATGGATCACATCACTGTAAATACTCAACCCATCCCGTACGGTTGAGGGGATTGAAGGCAGGTAATCTCCCTCCGTCTCTCTCTCAGGCTCCAAATCCAATCAGTGAGGAGATCAGTCCTGGTGTCATGCTCACAGAAAGACATTTTAATCTGAGGGGAACATCCAAAACAGACCTGCAGCTCATCCCAGCCCCACTCACACCATCCAACCAGGCCCATATGGAGGCCTGTGTCAACAGATCAGGAGGTCTCTAGAAGGATATAAGGCTATTTCTATATAACCCAGCCTGCCATTATTGCTGATGGCTTTTCAGCACATCCATAAGAATGATTTCATTTTCTCACAAAGACATGACTCATGAGTCGAAATAGTGGTGTACAGTTAGGGTGGAAACCGTGTTCGATCGGGCCCCAGAATTACCATCTCCCTATCTGAGTCCATTTCCAAAAGACTCAGCTCCGCGAAGGGGTCCACAGCACAGCTCTGCGAGGGGGGCCACACTGAATCACATAGCATGGCTAATGGCTAATCGGGGACCTCGATGGCTCAGCCACCTCAGCCCTGCCTGATGACGGATGCTGTGGTTTCCATGGCAAAGCTGCCAAACAGCGATGATACAATATCCAAGCTTTACTGTCCATCCCCTTGAAGTGCAGGACTTTACTCTAAAGCATGCCTTTGTGTCATCAAAAACGGAATATGACAGTGAATGAACAATGGAAAGGGATAAGTTTGTTAGAGCAAGTGCCTGTCAAAACTCAGGAGCAGTCAGGACCAGCTGATTCCACATTTTCCCAAGGCATGTGTTTTCTGTGAACGTGCGTGCCTGAGAGAGTGTTTGTGTGTGCAGAGGACTGGAGAGAATGACAAGTGGAGATGGAGAATATGTATGATATCAGTGTCAGTGTGTTTGTGTGGTGTGTGCCAGCTGTTTCATTCCTAGCAGCCCAGCACTATGAGCCTCCTTGCCTCCTAGGCCCTCCAGTCCAGGGATCTATCCAGGCAGCATCCCAAATGGCACCCTATTCCATTTACTTTTTACCAAGGCCCATAGGGCTCTGGTCAATAGTAGTTCACTATACATGGAATAGGGTGCCATTTGGGACTCCGATCCAGTCTCTGGGAACCTCCAGCACTGAGGGAGATCAAAAGGAGCGGCGGGGGGATGATGGAGCGCTCCAGGCCCCGCTAGACGCCGCTGAAAGCGGGCCCCGGGGTACTCTTATCACCCCTCCGCCACCGCTCCCACTGACTGGCTGTGTACAGACAGAAAGAGAGGAGAGAAGGAGCGCTGTGTGTACAGAAAGAAAGAGGGGAGAGTTGGAGCACTGCCTGGGTACGTTGAAGAGCAAGGATTAAGACTGGGACTGCGGCACTCACAATAACAAACTACATCTACGTTCCTCAGTCAGGAGTTCACTGACTGCACTGTAAGAGGCTGAAGGGCCAAGCTGCACTGTAAGAGGCTGAAGGGCCAAGCTGCACTGTAAGAGGCTGAAGGGCCAAGCTGCACTGTAAGAGGCTGAAGGGCCAAGCTGCACTGTAAGAGGCTGAAGGGCCAAGCTGCACTGTAAGAGGCTGAAGGGCCAAGCTGCACTGCAAGAGGCTGAAGGGCCAAGCCGCACTGTAAGAGGCTGAAGGGCCAAGCTGCACTGCAAGAGGCTGAAGGGCCAAGCCGCACTGTAAGAGGCTGAAGGGCCAAGCTGCACTGTAAGAGGCTGAAGGCCAAGCTGCACTGTAAGAGGGTGAAGGGCTGAACTGGCAGTATGTTTCCCAAGCCACGGTCTAGTCTAAAGAAACAGCCATAACTTCTTCCTAGCCCCGGCCCCTCACTCTGCCCCTTCCAAGGAGTGCTGACTGGACACTGCCCGCCCTCTATACGGTGTTGACCTCTCACTGTTATCCCTTCCAAGAGAAAATGTTCCTGAGAACCTTCATTCATTAATTTATTAATTTGTTCATTCATTCATTCTTCAAGTACTGAGAGGGATTAAAACCTGCTAGCTCGTCAGATCCTTTAGCATCTAGCAGCACCTAGCACTACTGCTTGATGTTCCTTCCAGATTCTTCTCTGAAAAAGTCAGTGTTGGAATAAATTGGCATTTAATTGTTTTGGCAGTCTCAGTTGCACCTTGAACAACAATATTTCTGTTAGAGCCTGCAGAGCAAAATGTCTAGCTAGAGCTGGTGTAGCAGTGAAGCAGCCTTGCTATGTTTACTCATCATTTGTACATAGCGATATACCTGCAAAAAATTATGATTATGATTTTGGCCCCTACAGTTTTTCTTTATCCTACCTACAACATTCTCGACAAAACCAACTCTCGCCCACAGTGTTGTGGCCTACAACTGGTTTCATTTACAATACATTTTTATGTTCAATAACATTTCTTCACATCAGTTCAGACAGAGTTCATTCTTAGAATTGTTGAAAGACGTACTGTAGAAGCTCCTACTCCATTACCGAGTAACATAAACCTGGTGTGCGTCTCAAATGGCACCCTATTCATGCTCACCATGGGCTCGGGTCAAAAGTAGTGCACTATAAAGGGAAAAGGGTGCCATTTGGGATGCCGCCCTGCTCTTCTCTGGCTTCTCAGGCTGACTGACTGTATAAGCCTAGTCAGTCAGTCAGGTTTTCCAGCTGAGTGCAGCTGGTGGAGCTGCGTAGCTAAGCATCACTATGAGGCCGGGCCCTTCAAAGGTTTTAAGGGATTCTCAGCGCACTTTATCAGCTGGACAAGGGAAAGCCCATCTCTCACAGTGATGCGGCATTAAAGAAAAATTGTGGTGACCTTTTACATTTTGGACTGGGAAAAAAGCCCCTGTGAGGAATGAGGGGTGGGCGGAGGTTGGTTAGAAAGCATCTACTCATCTTCTGGTTAAAGTCCAGGTTAAGGGCCAGACTGTCTAATCCACAGGGCTGCATTAAATCTAACACAGAGCAGAGCTGTGGGTTTGTGTTTTCAATTAGATATTCACTGGGGCAGAAATTATGTCTGTTAATTTACTCTACCTGAGACCCAGGGCGCCATAACTGTAGCATGGTGTAATTGGTTGCCTTAGCGCCAACAGATAGATGGTCATAGCTGCTCAAAATGGAGGTGCCATAATGACTACAGTTTATCACTAATGAAAGCAGCTACTCAATTAGCAGAAGTAACCCATATTTTGGGGGAATCTGAGATGAGTCTAGTACAGTTTAGTATGGTGTAGTATAGTATAGAATGTGTAGTGCTAGTCTACTAATATGGTATAGCCCATGTATTTGCTGCGATATATGAACTGTAGGTACTCACCTGCCTGCTTTCGTTATGATCATCTCTGTTCCCGCCTCATGGAATTTCTTCCACAGCTCCCTCTCATGAAGAAGAACCTTAATGTTCTCAATATTCTAAATAGAGAAAGGTAGAAACAGCCATGAGGGTTGGCAACCTGTTGTGGGCTTATAGACAATCAGATTATGTCATCTGGATTTTTAAGTTAAACCAGTTCATTCTCAATAAATATTTCCCAATTGATAGGGTGTCCACCCACTGTGCCCCGACAAGAAATAAAAACACCCACGATTTAATATGGCCAATAATTTTGTTAACAAGTCAACGACTTCCTTAATAATAGCTAAGATCATTGAAATTGAGAGCAAGGAAACATACCTATTTGGCCATTTCCAAGAATAGGAAACTTCTGAACATATAATACCTTTGCAGTTCTGGTTCTGGCTCTGTGTTGAGAGCCTACAATACTCATGATTACCTGGTCTGGCTCATTGCCCTGGGGGATGCTGGGAGTTGTAGGCAGGCCCAGGTGTGAGGAGTCAGGGCTGAGGTCTGGGGGCCCTCCAGGCTGGACCCCAGTCACACTGTCATCCGTCACAGCTGAGGCCTTCTCCTGGAGCATCTCTATGAGACGAACAACGGCTTCAGTTCAATACACAGACTTACAATACACAGACTTACAATACATGGACCATAGAATTACATTATATAGAACTTAAAATACTTAAAATACTTAAAATACTTAAATAACACATTCCCATAAAATGGACTGGACAAAATATGTTCCAAGGAAATACACTGTGCACAAACAAAATGTAACACACCTTCAAGATACAAAGATGAACCCTGTCCCTAAAGAAATATGGCCTAATATTTCATCATGACTAAATATTTAGCTTTTATTGATTTTTTCAACTACTAATTGACATTAAGTACATTTATATAATGTACTTGTACAGTAATTGCTGTTCATTTTGTATTTCTACAATAATAATGTATATTAATACTGTAAGGAAATTAAACACATCTTACTGGAAAGCTGCTAATTAATTCAATATTTTCTAATGAACATTTGTAGAATGTCCAATGGGAGGAAAAAACGGAACTTATGAACTGAAGGGGACTCGTCATCCCACACCGTGACGTTCTTCAATGGAATTCCTGTCTGTTTTAGGAAGAAAACCTGCTCTGCGTAAAAGACAAGTCTATTTTAATTTGTCTCTGTTATTTACGCAATAAAATTATACATTTTATGAATTACTTTTTTTATTGAACGATAACGCAAAAATAAATTGTTTAAATGAGTTAACATTTCTGGTAGATACATTTTTTAAATATCAAACCTTATAAGGAAATTTCAAGGATACGGAAGTCAATGCCTCATTGTTGCACTGCAATAATACACACTTGAAGGTGTGTATTCATCAACAAATGTTAGCAATGAGAGAAATTAAAATAACTCTTAACTGCATATTAATTCATTCAGGCATGCTCTCTCATTCTGGGACATTTCTTGGAATTTATTTTTCAGTTCTTGGAAACCAGGTCACTGTTTTGTCCCCAAGCTACTAACTATTGTTAATAGAAATATCAGTTGAATTCTGTAGGCAAAGTCATTTCAAGGTGGATCACTGCAGCAAGGACCATGTGCCATTGGGGGAATTTGGTCACAATGACCCAAATACTGTATGATGATGGGCCCTCATTCATGCAAAATAGAGCCGATCTACGTTTGCAGTGAGGTCCCATGTAAGTTTAAAGGAGGAATTGTATCTGAATCGTCTACTGTAAACTGTACCCTCAGCTCTGCTCTCCACTCATATGAAAAGATGGAATAGTAGATAGCAAACTTGATTGTTCCACACATAGAATTTCAATTACTGGACCCATTCAAGTGAAGTTATTCCCACATACGACTACACTGTTGTGCTTAATATTAATACACAACTACTAGGTAATAATAAATATTCAAGCAACATTCTGGCCATAGAATTACAATTACTAGAATGGACAATCCCATTCAAGTCTGCGCTCTGTGATGGGTGGACCAGCGGCCATATTGAACACTTATATTTCTGTTATAGCATCTCCATTTCCATTCTCTGACGTTTAGTTTGATAAATGAAATGACAATAATATATATTTGCATATTAACTTGTAAATCATATGAAACTCTAGACATAAGCTAATTCCTCAACCTGCATGCTTGGAGACCACGATATTAAGCACATGGGGTCAAGATTAATTTGTTCTTCAGAAGAGTTGGATTAAATATTTACTCTTCTAGCATTACGGCGGGATAGTTTTATGTAACGGCTCCTAAACACTGTTCATTCCATTAGTCCAGATCACCAGCTAAGCTTCGCTCTCTCACGGCTCTAAACCCAGCTCAAAGACAAACATATTTTCATGAGAGACACAGACACACAGACAGCCTGGTATAGCCTCGTCTGCTCCATACAGTTCTGTTTCACAAGACCCTCTCCTCTCCCATAGCAACCATTCCCCCATCCATTTTACCATACAGACTTAAACTGTAGGTCTACGTCCCAAATGGCACCTAATTCCCTATATAGTGCACTACTTTTGAACAGAGTCCTATGGGCCCTGGTCAAAAGTACTGCACTATATGAGGAATAGGGTGCCATTTGAGACGCACATATAAAGGTATACAGTGTACATTTCGGAGAGTCTTTACACTCACCCCGGCCCTCCCTTAATCTCAGGCATGTAAACAATGTGAGTGCTCTCTCTCAGGATGAAAGAGAAGGAGCTCCAACTGTAAACCAACGCAGACATTTGCTAAAGCGAATAAAGATAAGGCGCGCTGCAAATCAGCCGTGGTACTTTTTTACCCTCCTGAACAGGGCCCTTTCACTTACCCTGTTTAACTAAACACGGTGAGCTAGCCCTCTGTTTATATCTATGTCACTCCCAGACATATAATCCACTAAACTATTCATGGCAGATTGTCCTGTGTGTGTGTGTGTGCGTGTGTGCGTGTGTGCGCGCGTGTGTGTCTGTGTGTGTGCACCCTGGGTGCAGTAGGGAGGCTATTCTCAGTGGTAAATCCGATATGCTGGGATCTGGCCAAACTGAATTAGCAACTGTTACTTTTAGGCAACTCTTGGGTTTTTAATGAGGAGCAATACCATGACATTAAATGGAGGGGAGAGCATGCAATGTACTGTATCTGTATCTCAGTACATTTTGTGTCATATTTGTGTGTGTGTGTGTGTGTGTGCGTGCGTGCGTGCGTGCGTGCGTGCGTGCGTGCGTGCGTGCGTGTGTATCTGTGTCTGTGTTTTCGCCTCCCAGTCTGAAATGTATAGCCATGATGCATGATGCATGTTATTGAGACAGCTGCCATAAATTCAAACCTGACCTGCCATTTTGTACAGCAGCCAGTCTTATGCATATGGTGATGTGTGGCAGAGACAGAGAGAGAGAGAGAGAGAGAGAGAGAGGAGGAGACAGAGAGGAGAGAGAGGAGATAGAAGAGAGAGAGAGAGAGAGAGAGAGAGAGAGATGAGCTAGAGAGAGAGATAGAAGCGCGATATCATATAGAAGAGATAGAGGAGAGAGAGGAAAAGAGTAGAGAAGAGAGACATATTATATGAGAGAGAGGGCCCTGTCTGACTATGCATCACTTCCATAATGTGAGTACATTGCGCCTTTGTTGTTGTTGTATGTATGTCTCTGGCAGCTACTACTCAGCTATGTCAGTAGAATCACATCACGTAGCCTTGGGCTTGCGCCATCACGTAGCCTTGGGCTTGCGCCATCACGTAGCCTTGGGCTTGCGCCATCACGTAGCCTTGGGCTTGCACCATCACGTAGCCTTGGGCTTGCGCCATTAGCGCAAAATAATTTTGGATGTGAAACTGACCTATCACAACAAAAATGTAATGGCACCAAAGTAGTAAGTGAGTATGGTGCTGTAAAATCTCTCACCTGGAAAACAGGTCTCTAATGTTGGATTCCCTCCACAAAAGTGAATTAGGCCTACGTTTTAATCAGTTGTTTAGTTGATTGATTGGCTACAAATGTCAGTATCCTACCTAACAGAACATCTCAGGATGTAATGTTTAGAGTCAAATAAAAAATAAAAAATGATTTTATTTATTGTAAATATGTGAAAGTGTTTATAGTCCATATTTTAGAGACATCCCACATCATTGTTCGAGTGCTATGTATTTTGGTATTTATTGAATGAAAAGAATGACATTATTTAGACTCCCATATGTAGATGAAATTATTTGATTGTAATTTGTGATCATATAATTCTAAAAGCATGTTCTAAAATCATTATCTGTCAGTCAGTCTGCATAAACTAATTAAGTATATTATTGTGAATAATAATGATAGTATTATCATTATTATTATCATTATTAATCGTTAACTATTATAATAATGATACTAATAATAATATTTTAAACATTATTTAAGGATAATAATATTTTTCATCTTAAACAGAACAGATAGAATTGTTGTTTGTTTCACTTTTTATATTACCTTAAAGCTTGAATTGATAGTTGCTACACCAATTTTGGACTTATAAATGAATACACCCATTGATTCTTGAAGAATATGACTTATAAATGCCTCATGAGCTTAGTTCAACTGTCTTACCCCATCAGAACCCAAAATAAAAGCTTGTTTTATTTACTCCAATGTTTGTAAACAATGTAAATTAAACAAACACTGTATAGCCTCAAAACATAGTTAAAACTATCATTTTAATATCATGGATGGTCAGTCCTTGCATCCATAGCTCTCATAGCTTTAATGTCAATCAGCTTTGAATACCTTCACAGGGCCCTGAAACATGTATCAAACTGGTGTTTTGGTGATTAATATGACATTTAATGTAATTTCTACACTCTTGAAATTATTGAGAAATTGAGTAAATTATGTAACAACTGATTTCATCATATTTACAGTAACCTCAAAATTATATTGTGAAAATAATAAGCATTTAGCCTATAACTTCTTTGAGCATAGGTGAAATGTATAGAAATTGTGACTTTCAAATTGTACTATAGGCTACATGTTCATATCAGTTATTATTTCATTTTTTATAGACCGTGTGACCATAGACTGTTATACATCTCCATAATATTACCGCGTCATACATCAACGTTTAAGGACACTGCTTTAGCTTTTATTTTTGAAATAGGCTACAGACACAGCATTATCACGTTCACCATCACTATCAAGAAAGTCAGATAACGCTGGGAAAAATAGAAAGTAGAAAGTATATCCTAACACTAATCGCATTAAAGAAGCTGAGCCTATCCAACTACGGCGTTTTCAGATTGACTCCATGCCTGAGCTTGTTTACAAAACACGTAGATAGGCAGATTACACTGAAGATATGCAATAATATTATTATATTACCTCATGAAATATTATAAGCTTGAATCCATTTATTTTCCAAATGGTAATTTTCTGTCTTCACCAAGGAAAGAGCAGGAAGTTACGTTCCATTGGGACGTAGTTAGGGAAAGTCGTCCAGCATCTCATCTTAATAGGTTTATCTTTCTCCGGTATAACGGTTCTCGGAGTAAACTCCCTGTCACGCGTGAGCGCCCGTGTTAACCCTGCCTTGGTGTGATTCAACGCTCGTGAACCGAACTGTTGCCTACTCTGCGCGTGTGCAGTGCGCTTTCAGCTTTAGAGAGAACGAACTTGGTGCGTGGTGTTTTCTTGGAAACGCAAAAAAGAATTTGCTCAACCCCTTGAATTGTTAAAACACCGGGATGAGTGAATTATTTGGATCGTTACCCCGCTCTCCCTCCCCTCTCTTCCACGCAGACCTGACGTCGCTCCCCTACCGACGAGAATGCCTTACAGCGCGATGCACTGCTCCTCTGGAGCCAGAATCTCTCCACCAACGACTATTGGACTAATAAGTGTTGTGTATGACATGAATACAACATCATCTCCTCCCCCATCCCACTGGCTATTGGTTACATCATAAAAAATACTAACCCCATGCTATAGGCTATATAGCCTATAACTGGATATAGCTGCGGAGTTTGATAGGGCCTATGGGCTATTAATATACATAATATAGTATAGGCTTCATTAATAAACAATTCAGATAAAAAAAATTATTTTGCACGATAGGCCTTTGCTACTAGATATTATTTTTTCAACCAACCCAGAAGAGTACAAATTGATCATTGAAGCATCGGCTCTGGGTCTTTTTTTTGTTTTAGTTTTTTTGTTTTTTTGGGGGGGGGAATGGATCAGCTTAATATTGCAGATAGATTGTATCTTCTATCAATGTAATTGTCTGCATCACTTCCAATCCCCCATGTTTTTTATTTTATTTATTTATTTTATATATATACTCCCCTTTATTACTTTTCAACCCCACCATCCTTTCCCTACTTGGAGTAAATTAGTGAACAACAACGCCCAGGCCTCCACTTCCGGTCCATACCCACCACCTACACCCCATGGACAGAGTCAATTTTACAATAATTCTATTATATATTTATTTATTTATTTAATTTTGTATTGCTCCTGAACTTCTTCTACTCTCAACCTCTCCGATCACTTCCACGATGTCCATCCGGCCCGCCCCCACACGCCACATCCCCCCAACCGCGCTCCCTCCCAAAAGCTCCCAACATACAACCTATATACTTATTATGGACACAGTATGCTTACATTATTAGCTATCTTTGTTATTATTTGTTGTTATTTGTTATTAGTCCCATCCTTCAACTCTATTCAATACCTCCCATCTATCTCTTAACACCATCCATATAGGATTTCTATTTGCCATATATATTTCAACCGTACTGTGATGTTTTACACACGTTCTGAACCTTTCTATTCTCATTGCTTCTACAGATTGTGAATTAAAAATAAACATTTTTGCTAAAAGTATTATTATATTATTGATTGATTGACTATGACTTTTCAGATCACCCAGTAATGCTATCGGCTCTGGGTCTTTGTCAATCAGGTGTCACTGTGCAAACAGACATCTGTGGAACTGGGTTACCTGTGAGGTGAACCATGTCCAAATCAGGATTGTTGGGGTAACAGAGGCTCCTCTGTTCCAGTGTCAGGTAAAAATAACCTCTGAGGGCCACAGTGAAGAGAGTGGACTAGCCTATAACCGACCCATCCTCTGGTTCAGTTAGGCTCTAGATTTTACTTCTTTACCGTTATTTCGCACGACATGTTTTCCTTTCAAAACAGCAAATGACCTCTGAGGGCAACAGTGATGACGAGTAGACTAGCCTATAGCCTACCCATCGTCTGGTTTAGTTATAGATGGTATTTCTGGACAGTTATTTCGCACGCCATGTTTTCCTTTCAAAACAGCAATAGCCGTCGAAGAATGACGCTAAACGCTCATACATTTTCAGGTGAAATATGGTTGTGGTTTTGGAGTAAATGGGTCGAAGCACGAGGCTGAAAGACCAATAAATCAACAATAGAAGTTGGCGGGTCAGGTTGGTCGGTGAGAGTTTGACTTATATCTACTGATGACATGGCCAAATGAACGACAACAGCCTAAATGTCCTTCCCGCGACAGTTTGTCATTTTCAGCCCTTTCAATATTTCTCTGCCAAAATATGACTGGTGAGGAGGCATCGAATGATCAGACAGTGGTCCTTTTTTTAGTCTGTTGAATGTTTGGACATGGGTGATGTATTGTATCGGTTAATGTCAGGTTTTAGAGACCTATTGATGATTTGTTGTTGGCTCAGAATATAGATTTTCATATGCATTATAATTAACACATAGCTTGAGTTTGGTCTCCTTTTGAGGACAATAAATGGCAGCTAGGCTGATTGTATTTGTCAGTTTGTTGAAATCATCTGTTTTTTAAAGTGCAAATCATAGGCTGAAATGTAACACACTAGTTGCCTTTCATTTCTTTACTTTGTCGATGGGGTGATTTTCGTTTTATGTTCGTCCACTTAACTTATTAATTAAAAAAACTGTACGAATAATAGATTTAATATTTATTTATTGTAAACATAGCCTACTACAACTACTAATAGCCTAATAATAGCGTAATAATCATAGGCTAATCTAATTGAATGAACACTTGCATTTTCTTTCGATAGGCCTGTCATCTTTATTATATAATTAATCAATATAATTAATATTGACGTTTTTTGTCAGGGAACAATCATGCAGAATAGTCCGTTTTCTATGGTTTTCCATATTGCTTTATCAACCCCTTTGCTAAATGGGACTGTAATCTGTCTTTAGCCATGTGGCGCCAAAAGGCCAAAGCCTCTGGAGTTCGCGTGAAGGCCTTTTGTTCCATATAGAACATACAGTCCATCCAAGATCGAATGCAGTCCTCCAAACATCAGTAATTTGCGCGGGAGGAACATATTTAGGGAAACATGTAAATATTGACCCTAAATTCAGGCTGTGTTAACGCATATGCTATGCTAAGCTTACACAAATGCCTCGTAAATGTTGGACAGAAATAAGTATTTAGAGGATGTTTCTGTCATTTTGCTCATGTGCGCCACTAATAAAGGCTATAGTGAAGGCTTGAGGAAATGCAGATGTGCCATTCTATCTCTTACATCATATATATTAGCCTACCTCATGAAAGAGAAAAAGCTATGGTATGACCATTGACCAACAACAAATATGCCGAATTTAAAATGCCCAAAGGCTAATACTCAATTCTGTGTAACTGGCCCTCACAAACATAACACGTGATGTAAAAGTAGCCGTTCTTACCTCTACGTTATTGCTCAGCCCTTCACACGAACTTGACCTCTGCACTGTACTCCCCTTTAGCTGTGCTTTTCTTCAGGGAATCTTAGTCCCACAAGGACAAACCTTAGCCGCCGTGGTATAGAAGATGCTTCTGCTATAAAATGGTTGAATTTTTTATAGGAGCTGAATTGAGTTGGGTTTCTGAAAGGGAATTTAAACTTGACTCACTCCCACCGTCACGTGGTGCAGAAATTAGGAACAGGAGTCCAGTGGGCTTGGAGCAAAGCTGGGTGTTGCTGAGGGGACAACGTTCAAGCATCGTTAAAAACTCCCATATTATATATACCGATTCATTGGCGTTTTGGTCTCTGGTCCGAAACAAATAGTGTTAGTTGGTTTAGTAGTTAGGCTATATTGATGTTTTTGAGAAATACTAGGCAAAACAATTGACATGTCCTTTCCTTTTATTAATGTGTCAATAGGTTACCTATGGCTTTGATGGGGCCATTAGTAAACCTTGCTAATGTTATGATCATTTTGGGTTTTTTAATGAAAATATCTGTTGCCAAAACATTAATTCCAATACAAACATCAGCTTGTTTTCACAAGTGAGCAAAAAAAATGTGTGCCAATTGTCTTATTTGTATAGTCTATTTTGAACCATTTTAATTCGTTATTTCGGTATCAAATTAAACCAGAAACTGTTTTTTCCAGACTTAAAAAGACATGTATGATGAATGAACATGTAATTGACCTTTGGCCCTGAGTAGATAAGTACAAGGTGCAGTACAGTCCCAAAAAAATCAGGATGTAAATATAACATTTCTCTGAACGGTCCTTAGAATATAATAGTTTGCTTCATGGAGGTATACCACTATTTTACCTACAAATTTATATTTATGAAAAACATTCTAGCAGAAAAACCTAGGCTAATTTAAAAAAGGTTACCAGACCTTTTGACTTTTAAACCCTACGCTTAAGTTTTTGATATGTATGTATATGTATGTATGATATGTATTTTTTTTCTTCTTAAATTCTAGCAATTAGAATAGCAGATGTTTTAGTCATTATCGTGATTGGAAGGATATACACTAACTGTATGTGTTATTGTTGGTATATGCCTATTCAGAACCAATTATGCATCTCTAACGAATTTGACATTTCAAATACAGTACATAACAATGAGATATTTTCATTTATGTGCCAATTTTCTTAACATTTATACAATGTTGTATGAGTGTACATGTTCCCTCCATCTATTCCATCTGACTTTATGGAAGTAGACTGAGCTCTGTAATGAGTTGTTTACAATAATATAGTTGACCTTTCCCCTCTCTGGTATATTGCCATACATACCATTGTATTATATAGAAGTTTGACACCACTCAGCCTTTTATGGTTTCAGAATTGTTTTTATGCTTTGTGACAAGGACTTAAATTCTGGTGTGGGGTTAAAATAAGGATTTTCTATTCTGTTTGATAAAGGACAATGCTTATTTAGCTGGAGTTGTGTCTACGTGATATTGTATAACTAGGGTGAGCGTTGCTGTCACAGCATACAGAGTAGTCCATTGGCTGATTTATGTTGGAGGGAGTGAGGGTTTTTATTTCCTTGGGAAAACATTTGCCTGTGTAATTGGCAGTGGGTGAGAGAGAGAGGGGTCTCGGTTAATAAAAAACAAAAGAGCAGGACGACGTGGTTCCCCCTCTCGCTCTCTCTCCCGTCGCTGTCTTCCTTCTCTTTAAAGCCACACTCCGTCAGGTGTTCATATGTCATATTTATCAAAATCAAGGAATACATCATTTATTCGTTGAAATCATCTTACAGACTGTTCAAACTTG